TGTCTCTGGATCGTTTTGAAGTAATTTAAAGTTTTTAAGAATGATGGATTTAACTGAGTGGTTGTGAGGGTGAAACGTGAGAGTGAATGGAATGCGATCGGAATCTTCCTTTTGTGATGTTTGTAGTGCTGAATGTCGATCAATAAGTTGGGCGCGGTGGTAACCCGCTTGAATGACAGAGTCAGGGTAACCACGTTTATCGAAAAACTGGCACATTGACTCTGATTTGTGGTGGAAATCAGAGTCATCACTATATAAATGACAAAGTCTTAGAAACTGAGAAAAAGGAATGGAATTCTTAATGTGAGAGGTGTGCGAAGACGAATACAACAAGTAATTATGCGAGTCTGTAGGTTTGTAATACATACTAGTGCATAAACCATTGCCTTCAATTGAAGACATTATTTTCAGCATTTTTGGTCAGAAGTTCTTTTCAGACTAATGACCAACCAGGCACTTTTAAACACGCTCGTGCACGATGCAAAATGTGTCCTTTCATTCACAACACTGAGAAAATAACGGGAACCAAACGATCCATTAAGATCACCGATCACTTCACTTGCACCTCCGCCAATGTAATTTATTGCATAACTTGCACTTATTGCAAAAAGATTTACATCAGCGAAACAGGCAGAAGACTAGATGACCAATTCCGAGAACACCTTTGCGACGTGGAGAGGAATGACAAGGACACATCGAAACCAGTGGCTAGACATTTTAATTTACCCAATCATTCTAAGCAACATATGGCAATCTGTGGTCTTTCCTTACACTTAGGTAGCACGGAAAGCTGCAAAACTATTGAACAAAGGCTCATCTTTCAAACCTTTCAGTCTAAATCCCACAGGTATCAACGAACACTTTTCATTTCACTAATTTATTCGTGTTTTTCTCGTTGCTATGTTCCCACCAATCACGTAGCTCCATTTTCTGCCTTGAAAAGCACACACAACCCACAATTCCTCCATTTGCTCCGACAAAGGGCTAATGCTTGAAACATCAGCTTTTATAACCCTAACGGTGGCCAATTTACCATTTCAACTTTGTTGATATATTCAAGTTTGATATTAAATGTATGAGCTTGGATAAGTATGGCTGTTGAAAGTCATCTTCCTTATGATTGTGTAGTTCTAACCCTCAGTGTCCTTTCAAAGAAGGAAGCATAATTTTTTATAATAACTTGACTTTGTTTGAATTGCTCCCTTATACATTCTTCAAATCTTTTTGTAAATTGTGCATTTGCATTAGCTAACAATTATGCTGAACAAGATATAATTAGTGATATGAATTTTTTTCATTGTTTTTCATAGTCTGTACTGTAATTATCTCTGTGCATTATCTTTCAGACTAACAAAGTGGTGTTGTTGGAGGAACTGGCTTGTCAGTTTGGTCTTCGCACACAAGATGCCATTGACCGATTACAAGCTTTACAAGAAATGGAAAGGCTAACAGGTATTAATTGATAAATTTTTAGTTTTTCAGTTGATCACAATTCTTTTATATGGCTTCATAATGGCTGAGGTAGCAGAAAATAATTATTCCATCTCTTGTTATGGAAGATTTCAGGGTGTTTTGTAAGGCTTATATTGTACAAGTAATGTGGCTTGGTGGCTGTTTGGGTAGCAGCATTGTGGTTATCACAATGATGCTGGATCTGAAAAGGACTGGGTTGGAGTCCTGGCTGTACCACTGTGGTTCCTTCTTGTAGTAGCCACTTCAGTCTCATTGTGCTTCTGGCCACTTCATGCCATACTTGGTGGTGCATAAGTTGACTTTTCTTTTTACTGCTTATAGTGGATAAATGCAACACTTAAGTGTTGATACAAATGCAATTTTGTTCAAACGAAGTGCAATGCTCAGACCAGAAATGGAAAATGTAGAAAATAAGAAATTTACTTTTTCTGGGCCTGAAAAGTTTTGAACTTTTGGTAAAGGTCTAATCATCAATCTGCCAAGTCTGGTATTTCATAATTTAGAAGTTCTCAAGTATAGCCAGCTCTTATTTTCTACAACTTAGGGGTGACAGATGACCGTGGGAAGTTCATTTACATATCCCCCGAAGAGTTGCAAGCTGTGGCTAAGTTCATTAAGCAACGTGGGAGAGTCACAATAAGTGAACTTGCAGAAAGCAGCAACACACTTATCAATCTACAGACAGACAAGACTCGCACAGATTCCACAGCAATGGCTCCAGTGACAGCATAGGCTTATGGAAGTATTGTGACAACATTGACGGATGATAGTGTTTAAGAGATAGTTATTCTTTGTGTTGAGAAGTCCATGAAGCCTATGCAAGTTTTACTTGTATTCAGCTCTGAATTTCAAATTAAAGCAGTGTTTAAATTGAATTGAAAATTGTAGTGCAGGGATTAGGAGAGGGAAAAGGAATGAGTTTATAAAAAATTGCCTTCATGTTCAATTTGGTGTAGACTTTTCATGCTAGTCTCGTGTTCCTTTTGTATGTTTCAGGTTATAGTAATGAAGATATTAAGAGAAATAAAAATACAAAACTGGTTCAAAAAAGTTTTAAGCCCAAGAAAGAAATCTGACTCACAACAGAGACATGTAAAAACATTGTCAACCAGATAGGGAACACAGCCTGTGTGAAAATCTGTTGTTAACTCCAGAACACTTCACATAAAGTTCTATGAATTTTTTAAATAGTTCAATGTTGTTTGCTCTCTAATAAATGTTGCCTATGTGTGAAAAATACAATTTATAATGGTATGGGGTACAAGTCAAACATTTGAAATAACTAGCTATTGGGCAGGTATTGTTAGTTTGAATAATACTCCACTTATGAACAAAGTGTGGTGGGGCAGTAGCATTTCGTTGAATGAAGACAATATTAAGTTAATAATGCTATTTTCTGGTAAAAATAATAATTGATATATTTATTGGCAAGAGACGACTGATTACAAAGTGTTACCAGAAAAAAGAAAGTTAAAATTTAAGACAAAAGCATATGTACACAACAAGCAACTTACATGTAATATCTCCCATTCTGTTTTTCAGGTAAGAATTTCATAAGCATAAAAGCAGTGGTATAGTTATAATACTTCATGACTGTACTAGCACTTCACATCAAAATCTTAGTAGAACACAAGTTAGTATGATGCAACAGAGTTCTCCTTTTCAGGTGATGACTGGTTAAATAACTGCCTGTAGTACATCTTATTGTTGCATAAAATTGCTTGGGATTCTTGAAAATTCAAGAATTAAAAGGGTTAATTGCTCTGCCAGTTTGAAAATTTCTTTTACCTGAAATGCTTAAAATAAGGGAGATCACTGGTACAATTTAAAGTTTAGAGAACAATGAAAAACTGAATAAAAGAACTGTTAGAATTATGTGTTGGATTACATGAGCCCAAAGTTCAGAATAAGCATTCTTGTTTCATTTAAGTTACACCTTGAAGTTTATGCAGGAAAAAAATAAATGCAAATGCTGCCTCTAAATCAATGTACATAATCAATGAAATAACCCAACTTTAAAATTTTTTAAGTATTTAACAATATTTACTCTCTCTTGTAAAAACATTCATGGTGACAAATCATTTGTCCCTGCTGCCTCAATTTTGCTTCATGACTATCATGGCCTAAAAAAAGGCTAGTGTTTTTTTGTTGGCTAGTCTGTTTGCTTGCATTTTCTTTCCTTTTTTTTTTCATCTTTTTTTCTATAGTTTGTTTGTTTGTCTTTTTTTTTTCCTGTGGAAAGGGGGGGTGCAGTGATGTATGTAAAGAGAAGTTACAGGTAACAATTTTTAGATAAATCAAATAATAGATATCAATTGAAATAACCTTCTGCAATGTTTTTTGTTCTGCATCTCAAAAGGGCACTGGACCCTCCTAAATCTTGACTGTTCTTTCATGCAAGTGTTGATTACAACCTCCTGTTTTGCTTGCATTTCTTCCTGCTAACAAGGAATTTATGATCATGACAAATTCCCCATATGTAAGCACATTTTTTAACAATCATCTTTGACTGCTAGTGTTGGGGATCTCCATTCTGAAGTTGTCCTGGTCAGCACTGAAACTTGAGCAGGCCATCTCTACTGGTCAGGTTCTTTGTATCACTTTTTCAGCAACTCACAACATAGCTTGTATATATTCATTTCAGGAACTCTTGGTTTCTAGCCTTTACTTTCAAGTCTACCTTCCACTGGATACCCTTCTAAGAGCCGCACATCCACAAATTTTGCAAATCCAGCTCTCTTAATTGCTTCTATTCCAATGTCCCTGAAAAATGCAGACAAGTCAGATAACACATGATTCAGTTGTTGTAACCCCTAACTAAAGGAGCTAGGGTGCTGCTTACAGTCTATCTTCCCTTTGTTTACTATCCTACGTATAAATATTTGCTCCTGGATTTCTTTGACTGCTTGTGCTTATATTTTTTTAATTCTGACACTTTTACGACTGAGTTTTGATAAAACACAAAATGGTTTGAAATATTATAATAAATACACAATTAAGTTAACAGAGATTCAAATCACCACAATTATAAATATTTCAGGGAAAAAGTATTGGTAGTTGTTTGACGAAATTTTACAAATGATCCATTTTGAAAAGGGAGCTCAGTTAAGGCCTATCCAGTCCAGACACAGGGGGCCTACACAAGCGGCGTGTCTGGTTTGTTCAAAATATAAAGAAATGTATGGGAGAATATTGAAGAGTCGTAATATCTTAAACTTATATCAAGGAATGTCTATATTAAGGCTCAAAATAAATGTAAACCTACCTCACTTGCCGTGTATTGTCGTTTCTGTGGTTCTAAGGCCCAAAATAAATGTAAACCTACCTCACTTTCCGTGTATAAATGACAATACACGGCAAGTGAGGTAGATTTACATTTATTTTGAGCCTTAACATAGACATTCCTCAATATAAGTTTACAATGTTACGACTCTTCAATATTCTCCCATACATTTCTTTATATTTTGAACAAACGACCAGACACGCCACTTGTGTGGGCCCCCTGTGGTCCAAACTAAGATAAAAGATTTTTTCAAAGAAAAATAAATATCTTAAGCAAAACATTTAGTTGTCTAGCAACACCAAAAATTACTTCATTTACACAGTTTTAAAGAGTTGTTGCGATGGCAAGGCAAAAAAAGGAAATTCAAACTCTTGTATTTATATTAATGTAATAAGCTGGATTATGCACACATTTTTTATTGGTTCTTATGGTCTTTGGGAGGTCAATTACTTGGATTAATTAAAAATTTTTGGCTTCTTTATTTTTTAAAACAAGTAAATGGAAAGATTTCCCTATAACCCCATACCAATCAAAAACAAAGCCGTAATCCCGAAGGTATTCTGTTGTTTTGCCTCTGTTTTCTTTCATCCAAGAATTGTACACAGAATGAAGTATGGGGTTAGATGAAAATCTTGCCCAAGTAAATTCTATGTTGCTGCGTGTCTGTTCGAAAAAAGATCACCAAAGAAGTGAAAATGTGGTAGGATCATTAGTGACACCCTCTGGTGCATCTCGCATTTCGACGTCATCTATGATTTAGCAGACACACAGCAACACGGAACCTAATCGCCTAAAAGGAACTATGGGCATGTGAGCTACTTTGCAAATCTAAACAAATTCGGTCAGAGTTCATTCCTAACAAAACATTCCAATCGAAAAAGGCTCGAAATACTTACGAGTCTTCAAACGCCCAGCAGTCTTGTGGGTTTACATCCAATCTTTCTGCAGCTGTGAGGAATGCTTCAGGATGAGGTTTCGCATTCTGATAATCTTCGTTTCCAACAATTTCGTCGAATAAGTCACGAATCCCAGCTTCTATGAGAGCTGATGGATATTATGAACAAAGAACACTTTAGTACAAAAAAAATTAACATTTCCTGTTGATAATTTACTTCTGTTTGTTTGTTTGTTTGTTTTTTTCGCGCATATTCCGTGTATTTAATAGCGTGGCTTGCCTGACACCAGGGCGGATTTCAGCGGAAATTTATTCACATCACTGGAGCTTGAATGTGAAGGGTGGACATTTCTCCTGCATTTTATTTCTCGACGTTTTCCTTTTGGGCAGATTGAAAATTCTAACTTATTAACAATGAGTGAGGTGATTATGAAAGAATGAATCGTTAGAATAGCTGAAGTTGGGAGAGTCGAGAGCGATCTGGAGAGTTTGCGGAAATGGACTTTGACCCTTCTCGTGCGTCAAGCGATCAACTTTTCAAAACAATGAAAAGTCAATCAAAACTTGGAAAAATATTGAAAATAAAATGTTTCATTTATTTAGTAGGCAAATTCGACCATTTTCACAAAATATACCTCGTTCAACTTGAGTACGGGAACTCCCAGACGCTACTGCTGTCGGTATACCAAGTCTTCGAGCTTCCAAAACAAAGCGAACAACGCAAGGAATTATTTTGACAGATTTAAGTCCTTTCAAGAAGAAAGCTCTCTTCTGAGCGTACACTTCGAGAGGATCTAAACTGATTCCTTGTTGGTTTGCCAGTTCGCGAATAATCTCTCTCCCAGGTACTCCTGCAAGAGCGAAAAAGCTCTCCTTGTCAAACTTTAAACCAGTTTCCTTGCAGATGGCACACCAAGCTTTCCAGTGCAAAGGCATCGTATCCAGCAATGTCCCGTCACAATCAAATATTAGCCCTTTAACCTCAGCGGGTAATGGCATTTTGCGAAATGTTGTTGAGAGAAAAATAAACAGCTTTCCAACGAGAACAAACACTTCCAGACGAAAGTCCTCAGAAAGAAGCTTGCATGTATAACGACGAGGGTTGTATGTAAACCATAGCCTGGGTTTGTCTTGTGCAATATTGTCAAGCTGCCCTTCTAAAAATATCAACAATGATATTCCGATCCAGTGATCAGGAACCCAGTTTCCAAAATTTTACCACGAACGTAGGAAGCGTGGTTAGCGTAGGGTTAATATTATGATCCTTGCCCTTTATTTCCCTCTTGTGACGTTGTTCATCGAAGAAGCACCTCGGCGCAAAGTTGGGTCCCCTTACAGAGATACACCCTCTAAAACGTGCAGATGATCTGGGAGATGTTTAATGACACGGCTCCAAAAATAAAAATAGAAAAAAGTTAACACCCGAAAACATGCATAATATTATGCTTGATGTCGTTCCAGGTCACGTACCGCCGATCGCGAATGAATGAAGTTGTGTTCGTTTTCACGGACTGATGGTTCACTGAAGCTTGTCCTCCAGTTCGCAATGTCACGTGATGTGACGTCACGCTTGAAATGGGTCTATTAGAATTGTCTAGGACTACGGAATTGGACTCTGGGCTCCTTGCGTTATGAAGTACATATATCTTCTTCTCAACTCAAAATAACGTAGAAGTATATTTATATATTTTTCTTGTCTCAGGGAAAGGCAGCTCGTTCGCTGGGAAAGTAAACTCCCAACAAGAGTGGTATAATTTGGATATATCAACAAAGTTGGAATGGTAAATTGGCCACCGTAATGATTACAAAAGCTGACGTTTCGAGCGTTAGCCCTTCGTCGGAGCGAATGAAGAGTGGTACATTGCTGAGTATTTCATCACATAGGTGGGATTTCGCCGTTTCGTCAACTGCGCAGCGCGTGGACTGTCCTTTCAACTGAGCTTACTTTATTTTGTTTGCAATTTTGTCATTTGAATAGACTATAAGTGTGTAAACACCTATTTTATATCTAAATCAAAGTAAAATATGGACTATAAAAGCAGTTCGAGACGGTCGCCAAATAGGCCCTTTCAAACTCTACAAATCGTTTCAATTCCGTTAGTCCAGAACACCAAAGACTTATCAATAATTTACAGTAGCCTTAAGCTGTGTGAGATAGCGTTAAGTGATCAGGGCGAATGATAAAATGTCATTGTGTAGAAGTATAGGTTTTCACCGCGTCTCCTCTGATGTCAACACGGAATTTCTTGATTATTATAAAATTTCTCTTTGAATGAAAAATTAACTGAGTTGGATGAACGAGCCATCAAAAGGAGAAGTACTTCACTTCATTCAACACGCAGGCAAACTGAAAATTTTTTCTCCAACATTTACACGTTAGAACAATCAAGTATTTTAATCAAAATGTCTATTTTTCCGTTCCAAATGTGCATGAGAATGATGTTGAAAGAGTTTCAAATCGGAATTGTCTGATCAGAAGTTTGTTGATCGTAGTCATTGTGTGGAGTTTTAGTAATCAATGTGGTGCTAGATCACGCCACGATACTGATGACATATATTTTGACAGAGAATACGTAGTTTCAGAAGTTTAAGTTAGTTTCCTTTCCGGCCAAAAAAGCTGCAGTTACTGTATTAAAAAGGTTTGAGGGGTCGAAGGGTTCAGTTGTACAAAAATAACATTACTTATCCCAAGTGAAAAATAATCACACCTTATTGAAGTTAAATATCCTTGTTTTTATTTTTGTTTTTAATTCTACCTTGTTTTCTCTTAATGTAGCAGCTTAGTCGTTCTCTCCATTGATGTTAATTTCAAGTTCTTTTACTTTTTTTAAATCCAAATATTTCCAGAGATTTTCTTAAATCTTGTCACCTGCAAGCTCAACAAACTGATTGATACAATTGATGTAAGAAATTACTACATGGTCGATTCCTTCAAAGTTATTAAGCACATTCTTCGACATGTAAATATCTATCTGTAGCAGCCTATCATTTTATGTGGTCACCAACAAGCAGTGGATAATAACATTGCTCCTGATTATTTCAACTTATAATAACATCTGTCTGGTCAATACAATTTTTGGAATCTTGAAGATGTTGATCTTTAAGATATGGTTTGTCGTCTCTTTACATTGAAGAATAAATTTACAAATATTATTGTTTAATCTTTCCCAGTTCACTTTCCCAGTTCCCAGTTCACTTCTGAACAAATATCTACTTCTGCTCAAAATTTCAGAAACGGATTAAATAGTTCTAACAAAAACAAAACTCACAGTTTTATTATATATGACTGGAAAAGAATTGTACTCTGCAAATTACCGATTCCGAGATATTTTGATCCCTTCAAATGTAATTAAATTTTCCACATATCTAAATCAAATTTATACCTTCAGGTTATTCCCAATAAAACTTAGGAAACTATTATTTAAATAAATACATGAAGCTTTCTTACAACAAAATTTAAAGAGATAGCACTTTTGCAACCTTTTCTGGTTTAGACATCATCAAACCTAGAATTTGTTTGCTTTTCTCTTCTTCTCAACAAATATTATTTTAAAATAAATTTAGCTAGAGGGATATTCTAGGGCCTGCCAATCGTATAATGTTATGATCAACTGAACTTTGATGATTATCAAAAATCTACAAATAATTATGTAACAAAATTTAGTTCAGCACTTCTGCAGCAATCAGGAAACTACAGAGCAGATTTGGTAAGAGTAGGAATGACACATAAACGAGCAAACCCTTGGCCATTTGTAGCAAAGATATAACCATCAATGACCAAACACTCAAGTTAAGATTATAGTTGCATTAAATAGTTCTAAAAGTTTTTTCCCCATCGGATCACTGTCAGAAAATTAAAGTTGCGTTGGCCTTGGAGTGTGATCAGATCCTAATTGTATAAAAATTACTGTACAATGTATGTATAAAAGTCAATGGACTTGAAAACTTCAGTGCAACCCTTAAATGAAGATTGTTGATGAATGAAAACTATCCATCTATAGTTCTCCACACTAACCTAAAATGACTAATATAACATCATAATGTTCCAATCTATTACCTGCATATTTGAAACCTTAACTGAACTTTGTAACATTCATTTGATAAGTAAAATACTTTTGAGTTAATTTCTTTCGAAGGTTTTCACAGACATTTTCATTCCCAAATTCTTACATCAAAGATATGGTTCCTCAGAAAACTTTTGTACACATTTTTAAAGATAAAAAGTAGATTATACAGCATTCAAATTGATGTGGTTTTTAATTTGTGTTAGTCAACCAAAGATCTTCATGAAAAGGCCCAATTTTCTTCTAACATTTTGAAAAAGAAAACTGAAAGGTTGAATTAAACAAAGTAACTTCTCAAAAAAACTAAGTGATCATTTAAGGGTTACACTGAATGTCATGGCAACTTGACATCTTACAGAGGCATGTTTATTATATCTATGTTGTAAAGGCTCTGTATCTTTGAGTGCGAAATTCTGTGCTATGATTTGTTATTGCTAGTCCATTTTCATCTGTCCTGACTGGATATCCTTCCATTTGCCGTACATCTGTTACCCTATAGTATCCTGCTTGTCGTAATGCTTCAAGGCCAATATCCCTTAAATTTCAATCAGAAATGCATTTCTTAGAACTAGGGTTTCAATGATATTATAACACTTTCCTTGTTGGGAAATTTTATGTCAAATGTGTTAAGTTTGTTTTGTGAAGTTAAAAACAACCCTTGAATCTCTTTGCTATGGTGAAAACTTGTGAAAAAATTACGTGAACCATTAAAATACATGGTGCTACATTGCACTGTTGTACATGTTAAAAAGCAACTTAAAGATAGACAGACAGACAGACAGACATCTATATTTATACAGGATAGCCCCTTCAGTGTAGTAAACACTGGTATCAACGGGGGTCCTGTTACCCACCCATCCCACCCCAGGGGAGGACATCCATCACACAGTAATCTCGTGCGTGGGAAATTAACGTCTCCTGCCCCTAACCCTGCAGGAGACGGGACCTCCATTTATTCGTCCCTATCCGAGAAGACTAGAATATCTAACCATTTCTTGATGTTAAAGAAAGGAAGCATATTCTTCTCAGTTAATTTTTTAAGACCCTGAGTGTTGGTCCGGCCGGTATTGAACTCTCGACCTCCCACACAGCAGTCCGGCGCTCTCCCAATTGAGCTAACCAGGCGGCGGTATCATACCTTACGAATTTTACTTTAATGATGACAACCACTTTCAACTAGATTTATTCGCAGTGACATTGTAAAAACAGCAACTGAATACTCCAACCTCAGGAAGTAGAGAGAAATAAAGTACTTACGTGTCTTCAAAACCCCAGCATTCCTCAGGCTTGACGCCAAGTCGACTAGCTGCTGTGATAAATGCATCTGGTTTAGGTTTATGTTCTTCATAATCTTCATTTCCAAGCACCACATCAAATAGGTTGTCAATCCCAGCTACTTTCAGGGCTGCATAAAAAAAACAATAAACAAAAAAATTAACCAATTTGTAGAGAGCAAAAATCCTGACCAATACTCAATAAAAGAATTCATGAAAAGTAAAATACTGTAAGATTGAACTCATCAGCACTTTAAAAATTACCTGGTGAAAAAAAAGGCATACCAAAAGGTGCTAAGAATGAACTGCATTAACAAACAACATGTTAATAGTGCAAGTTTAATTTTGGTGCTACTACATATGTTATGGTGTCAGAAAAATTACCCAAGATATCACTGATCAAACATCGCAAAAAGGTATCTCAACTAGCTGAATATGGCTGGCTGTTCCAGTAATAAGAAGGATTATAAAAAGAAAGAAAATTCTGTGAATTTCTAAATCTCTAGAAACTTTTAAAAAACAATCTGTTTATTTTTGTTTCGTCTACCATAAGTTTTAATTATAGCTGTAAAGCGTTTTTGAGCCAAATTCTCAAATCGGTCAGAAACTGAAAGTTTTGCTTTAACTAATATCATTACTATTTAGTCCATGTGAAATTTTAAATAATTCATTGTAGGTTTTACAGCTGATTTTTTAACCATGGTTATCAACCATCTCCCGCTGGATAAAACGCCATTAACGTCATGAGAAAAGAGGCCTAAATGGTAAGACGATCGCATCACAACTTAAGGCGTACGTGCAAGCTAAAATTTGTAATAAAAATTCGCTTCCGCCACATCGGGCCTAAACAAAAAAATTACTGCACTGATTACTGTTAGTGATTTTTCTTTAAAATTTCAAAAGCGTCGTACGTGCTCGCTCGAAAGATGTTGACAATTAACCAAACCACCTGGGTTGGTAACCAATCACAACGCTCTATTTGCACACACCTCTTGCACACCTCCACACCTCGTATGATGTTATTGTTATTGATTTTCATAAATATTTTCGACACGATAACAACCACAAAATGGCCCAACATGAAAACTCGATAAAGAACATACAGATTGAATCCGTTTCTTGAAAACAAAGGGTCTTTTTAAGATGTTTTTCAGGCTAATTTAGGGAGTTACATGTTAAATAAACGAACGCGTTCAACTCTTATTGTTTTCCGATGGACTTTGTACTGCATATCGAAGGCCTTCGATATTTTCTTTGTACAAGACAACATTAAGTTACCGGGAAACCACTCATACGACAAAATCCTGACGAAGATGACAAAAATAAGTTGTTCATTTGCTGAACTGTAGAACCAAAGTGTTTAGAAATAGTTCGTCAGAGGGTATGTCTGGGGGCGCGGCCATTGCTTCACAAACTAAATATCGTTAAATGAAAATTATCAAGAATCTCGTGTTCTAAACAACAGAATCCTATACAAAACGCTCTTCGCTATATCACACAGGTATCGTTAATGATACTTTAAAAAATCGGCTACTCAATGCTAGGGTATCTCAGCCAAAATATCGAATTGCAGTCTCAATACCTTTTTGAACTTGGGAGCGTGAACTCCCCGAAGCAACAGCGATAGGGATTCCCGATCTTTGAGCTTCTCGGGCGATTTGCACCACACATGGAATAGGTGTAACAGAAGTTAACCCTTCAAGGAAGTACTTCCTTTTTTTGTCGTAAATAGCGAACGGATCAAGTTTGATTCCCTGTTGTTTGGCCAAAACTTTGATAATCTTCTTTCCGGGTACTCCCGCTAGAGTGTAGAAATCAGTTTTGCGAAATACGAGTCCTGTTTCTTTGCAGATTTCACACCAAGCCCTCCAATGAATTGGCATTGTATCCACAAGAGTCCCATCGCAGTCGAAAACCAGGGCTTTAACTTCTGCGGGTATCACACCAGAATCCGGAATCATTACCTTGAGAGCTTTGTCCTTCACCTCTGCGAGCGAAAGGTTGTTATTGATGATAAAAGTGCTATGTGTTCACCCGGTCCGGCCGGTCAACCCAACAAGCTAAAGTGCCTTTCTCTTCGACAGCGATTGTCTTGAGATTTCATTCGGCCCCTGATTGGGGCTCTGCGTGGATGTATGATTCGTGCAAAGCTGCACAATCCAACAAGAACTCGGCCCTCCGCTGTTTCTTGGGAAAGGACAATAGCAAAGTACTTTTCCCTGTGTCACATGGAATGAAATGTTCCTAAACCGTGACGTCACTCGTTCGTCCAATCCGCTTTCGTTTTATTTCAAATAAGCCTTCATTATATTTATATCCCATGTTTACCGAAGCCAGAGTGTACGACAATGACTTCAAACAAATCAACCCGCTTTATTCTTCAAAGAAAACAGTCTTAAAAAGAATATTGTATTTTATTAACCTGTAAGAGACTTACGGAAATGCAGTGTCATGGGGTAACCGAAGTACACTTTAGGATATTGAAACATGACCGAGAAAAAGGAAAATAAATTTAAACCAAGTGTAAAACTGAACTACAACATAGATATATATTGCGCCACTTTGATCTTTCAATAACATCTAGGATAGTTTGGGGAAAACAATCAAAGAAAATCACATTCACTTATATTCCCAACGTAGCGGCAATCATTATTCGCCGCCATCACAACTAATTTTCAATTTCTCCATCCCAACACTGGATGGTATTTAACATGTTGTTTGACAATCTGCTATGCTATTTGGAGTCTGTCTATAGCGTTTACGAAGAATAATCCTCTTAGAAGGGTGCTAATGAAAAGATTGTTTTGGCACTTCACTTTCTCGAATGGATTTCACCCGTAGCGAAGGTCATGTCAACTTAATTGTTATGTTGAAACAACTGCTGCATAAATCACATACATCGGAGCTTCTATTCAACTTGGCAACAAAGTCCAACTTATCTTGCCTATCACAATAAAAATATCCCAAAGCCTATTGCACCATTGTGCTTGACAAATGCTATAAGTGAAATATTCTTTTCTATATCGAATTTCAGAGGGAAATATCCTTTGATGGGTTTAGCCCAGCTGAGGGTTTACTGTTACGCAACCTCCACCAGGCTTATCATTCATCAGCAGACTAGATTATCTGAAAACAGGTATTTTTTTTTTTCTCGGGAAGAAATATGGAGCAACAAGTTTCGGCGTGTCTAAGCAAACAGTCAAGATCCCCCTCTGTTTAAACCTTGTGTCGAGAGGGGACAAATAAAACAAACCAGAAACAAAACTAAATCTTGAAAACAACATATCTTCCCAGCCCTGGGCTATATTGAACTGTGATGTGAAACAATGCGCGGTGACGTAATTGAACGTAGTAATAACACTAGACTTACAAAAATAATGACTCAAAAAATACCAACTCATGCTTGCCATCATTAGAGGAGCGACATAAGCAAGCATAACTACATCCTAAAACTGATCTCGAACGCTACAGGTCTTAAATCTCTGAGTCACACGGGCTAGCCCATCCATTTTATATGAGTGGGAGGGGGGGGAGGGGGTCGGAGGAATTGATTGTGTCACGAAAAAAAAATCACCAGATCTCTAAAAATGACATTATAATATTCTTATAATTTCCTCTCCCCCC